GAAATTCTTGAAACTTGAATTTGTAGTTTTCTTTATTTTCTGAAACAGTTGATGTCCATCCTCGGCACACACACGGTTTTGGACGCTCCTTGGATACATGCATACCTCTAATCAAATGTGCACTGAATCATCTAATACGTATTTTAATTTAAAGCACTTGCGAGATGTTTCTTGGATGCGTATCCTACACTATCATCCACTTCCTGAAGCTTGTTGGATGCGGGTTAGGTTCGTTTCAGTTCGCACCATGTTCGGAACTATGGTTTCGAGTTCAAGAATGAGTGATTCTCTAATCTATAATATACATAATAAAAGCGTAAGGATGTGATAGGAATTTTTATTCTCATAACATATATATATAATTAAATTGGTCTAGAAAAATGCAAATATAGTCGTGTGTTGTACCCATACTTCCTAGAATTCTGAAATTAAAACAAGATACAACCTATTCGGTATAAAATATAAAAGATGACTGCATTCAGGAACAACTGAACTTTACTGGTATGGACCAACCAGATCATAGTGATGCTTATTACAGTCCTTCGAAAATATAATGTGTGTGTCCAGATCCAATAAAATTGGACGTCGGAGCGCTAATAACTTAATGCCAGATATCAAGTTGTTAATTTTATACACACATGACCGCTAGCCTAGTCTAGTGCTTGTCGCATTACATTATGAAAGATGTTATTATATAAATCATACCATCAGATTCAAATATCCAGCCACAAGCTTTCGGTTTCAGGCTTTATGTCCAGTATGAAGGGTGTAAAAGTATTTAAAGATGGCCTTAAGTTTATCCTTAGGCCCTCTTAGTATGATTGGTTTCAGGCTAGGTAATATCTTATTTAGTAGTTTCTGGGTTTTATGTTATGTGGAATAAAATTCAAGTTAATTAGGAGTTAGACCAATGATATCATGTGACAAATGTTGCTGACAATGGTGTATATTTGATCAATGTAGTTTTGGTGTTAGTTTTTCACGTTGGTGTTCTGATTGGGAATAAAAGGGTTTGGATGAGCTTCAAGGGCTTCCTTGCATAAGTTATTTGGCTTTTTGTGTGGCTTTGAGCAAAACTCAATAAACATGGTTCAATGTTGTCAGCTTGATATAAGTTTTTTATATGTTGTCTACTTATGATTTTGGCGGATGTTTTGGATCTACACATATTTCACATGCTTGATTTGTGAATATATATTCATGCTAACTTGTTTGATTTGTGAACTGGATGAATGTAGTTTATCTTCATTTCATGTTCACAGGATTAAAACACAAAGCCACTTAGCTACATGTTGTGGGATAAACAAATTCATTTGTAACTAAAATTTATGTCTATGTTCATTACGTTCTAGTGGGGGTGGGGATTAAGTACTTAAGTTAGCCTTACATTGTTATATTTCAGGCGATCATTGATCCCTGAGTAGCTAAAAAAAAAGATTTGTCTATAAGCAGTGATGAAATTGAGGCCTATAGTAGAACTTTTTTATTGATAGTCTAACTTTTTCATTTCATGTTTGGCCTATAGTAGAATTTTTTCATTGATAGTATAACTTTTATTTGGTGTCAATTTGTACGATATTGATTTTCTCAGTCAAAAGTAGTATTTGTCTATGACTTATCTTGGATCTATCAATACCCAATATTTATTACATAATGCAGCATTATAATTTACAAGTACATTTTTGTAAATTTTACAGTCACTCTGAAATTAAGCAATGAATCTCTTCGATGCTTGCTTGGGACTCTAGGTTCTCAAAGAAAAAAGATTGAACAAGAACAGGTTTGTACAAATCTTTTCTGGGAACATAATTTTGGTGTTGTAAATATATATTCATTTATTGGAAGTTGATTTTTTATTCATGCCGTTGCATGTTCTCGTTGTTACTCGGATCGTGCATAGATCTTCTTGTCCATGGTTATCATGCTTGTTGTGTAGCTTAGCATTATATTTCATAAGCTAGTGTCAGTGTCATTTGTCCTATCTATTATCAACAACAAATGAATTTCCAGTGAGAATACAATCAACATTTGGAACATCAGTGAGAATACAATCAATGTTCCAAATCCAAATTTTAGTTCCCAAACGCTGCCTCGTGGAAAATTGATCTCAGATTTGTAAAAATAGCATGCTGTGAGCGTACAGATAATCTTTCGGTAAGGATTAAAATATGCACCATTACTTATGTTACACCTAATCCACTCACATGGCTGTTATGTATGCATGAATCAAGCTTCTTAAATACAAACAAATCAAATAGTTCAAATTGGGTCCGATTTTGCAAGGAAACCAGAGGAGTTCGCATGGGTTTCCATCAAGAGTACAGTACGACTTACGAGAGATAGGGGGGGGGGGTGGGATGGGGGGGGGGGGGGGGCTGCGTAACGCGTCTGCGTAGGCTGTTGGTGGACGTCGACGGTCCCTTGAAAGGAGCTTCCGAGGGAACGCCGAATGACTGCCTGCTTGCGGTGTCGCGGGCCGCCGCGATTGTAGTTGTCGACGATGCTGAGGAGGACGAGGGGGTGGACGATCACCTTCTCGATCGGGCGAGAGGATATCTGCTGAGTCTTTATCACATCCATACCTGTTGTTGATCCGAATTCTTCCAAAGTGAAACCCTAGATCCAAACAATATCTTGGATCCCGGGATGAGTTTTCGAAGAGTTAAGTTTGGAGTAGAAATTAAGGACTAGATCTAGGGCAAGGGAAAAAGGAGAGCACGGATATGATACCTGCCGACTCGGAGTCTGAGTTGATGAAGGAGAGGGGGCGAAGAATCCCAACGGAGGTCGGGACTCAGTCAGGAGAGAGAGCTCTGTTCAGTTTTTAGGGCGAGTGGGGCTGGGCTACAAATCATCCATAAAATATAATAAACATTATGGCACTAAGTCGACGGTTCGAGCCTCTCCGCGGACCCTCATACATTATGGCACGGATATGATAACTGCCTGTTTTATTGTCACCAGCTAATTGTCGGTTCTCCATCGTTGACTTATTTATCTTATTTGTAATCTTCCTTCCTTACATCTATTTGAAGGGTAGCAATTATGTTCCACAATTTACTGTTTACATTTTTTTGCCAGTAGCCTC